ACGGAAACAAAGTAATATATTATAGTTTAAATATATTTGAATATGTGTTATACTATTATAAAAAACTAATATTTTGAGTGTGATATTATATTCTATTTTATCCTCATAAAAAAGATGCATCACGATCGACCTACCGTGAGGCATAAGATGCATCATGATCGACCTACCGTGACGCATAAACCCACACAGATGAGGCTAGGAAAATTATTTTCTTGACGAACATTCATGTTGGCTCTCTCCATGAAAATTACACCATCACCTGGTTTGCATTGGCAGGAGGTGTTCGGCAGAGCTCTAAAAACTCTAATTTCATAGAGTTGGTGAAAATTATCCATCACTGCCATCCTTTACGTACAAGATCTCAACACATGTCACCATCGCCCCTCGACCACCTGACCACCAAGTCCTCCAGCGCCTCCGCTTGACTTGGTCAACTATCATCTTGACTTGGTCAACACGGTTTACTCCTCCACATGTACACTTGTTTTTTGATGTCCCAAAGTGTCAGCCACCCACGGTCAGTCTTCCAGCCACCTCGGTCCCTCGGTCCAATCATCACATCCGTCCTTCACCGCTCTCAGTCCATCGGCATGGCACGTCTTCTCCATGGCCGCCGACCGTCTATTTGCTCCACACCTAGACACCAACACAGCTAAGAGACATGTTGCACACATACTCACACTTGGGTTAATCTCAAACTCAACCGAAGGCTGGTCATCTTCCGACAATCACTCATCACAACTCAACATATATGGACACATATCAACCATGTGTTCATAGTTTTGATTGTTCACCAGTGTCCCGTCCCCTCCCGCTGTCCAAACACAGCAGCAGCAGGTCATGGATTGCACTCCCTCGTCATGGACACCTGAGCTAACAGCAACTAGTAAAAACCCTGAAATGATCTGACAATACAGGGGTTTGTCCCATCGAACGACTAGCGCTCGGACGTCCGGAGCGAGGCTCCCGTCCGAACGCCGCTCCCCACACCCCACACCTACTCCGTTCCGCACACCCCCACCCGCTTGGAATTTATGCCTCTCAAACGACTTGCCCCACTTACGCCGCCAGTCCCCACGCGGGCCCACATCGCCCAAACATCACCAACATCTAGAAGAGGAGATACCCCTTTTATAGAAGAAGGGGAAGATACATGTTACACCAGAAAGAGAGAGAGAGAGAGAGAGAGAGAGAGAGAGAGAGAGAGGGAGAAAATCGAGGAGAAGAAGCCCTCTGGGACCACCACGTCCTTCTTCTCCTTCATGCAGGTCCCATCGACGCTGTAGATGGTGATGGGGACGGCTCCACGTCGAGCTCCTGTTCACCACTAGTGCTATGCCTCGACGTCATCAGCTGGTCGTGGCGTTCCATCCCATCCCGTGGACGGCGTGGTGAACCGACGTGCTTGTCAGCGGCCGTACGGGGATTAGGCAGCATAGTGCCCACGCACCCGTCACTGTTGGCGATGCAAACCCCCGGGCGTGGCCTATCGTGGCCACGGGGCACGTCAAGGCGTGCCCGCGCCCCTTTTGGTGTTAAAGGCTTGACCCAGGCCCACACGCTTGGACCCGTAGTGGTTGGGGGCGGTACGGACTCGCCGGGCGAGATGGAGCCCGCACTCGAGGGGTCGGGCGAGATGGAGCCCGTGCCCTCAGGGTCGGGCGAGACGGCTCCCGTACCCTCAGGATCGAGCAACACGGGGCCCGTGCCCGAGGGGTCTGGTGAGGCGGAAATCGTCCCTTCGGGGTCGGTCGAGACTGAAATACGTTCTTGATTATCTAGGCGAGTTGTCGTCTGCGGTCCTCGGATCCCTTCTTCGGTTATCCCTAATACTAATACCCGACACAAATATTCTACTCAAAATGATAAGCACGTTCCGTGTTTGGTTTAGTAGTTATTAGTTAACCTCGTTTCTCATCTACTTTTGGCCTACCATTGAGTTGACAAAGTAAAAATGTGTAATGTTGCCACGTCCGAACCATTCAAGGCAATGGAACTCCAAACCCGTCCGTCAATAATGGCTTAATGCAGCGGGCTATAAGTACTGTGTAATTTGTGATGATGGATCGCACGTGTTAGTGTATAATTAATGAAATTAATTTGAGAGCTCAAAAGTGTAGAGGTTGGTCAAAACTAGGGATTTAACAAGTAGAGGAAGCCCTAAACCTTTTTTTCCTCGAACAGGCCCATTGCTGGCCCGTGTTTCATTAAGAGGGGAAGCCCTAAACCTAAGTAGAGGCCGGTATGGCCCAGTCTTACTCCATGGCCCAACACAGCACTACGTCCCTAACTTTAGTTTACTTTTGCACCATATAAAATTTATTGTTTGTGTTGATTGGAATAGAGAGAACCATTTTATGAGAGACGAATCGAACCCGTACCCTTATCATGTTTAGATTGCCAATTGAGTTACACACCCAACTTTTGTTTAGTTTTGTACAAGTTATTTTATAGTTTTATCTATCAATATGATAAAAGATTTTTTTTGAGATACGAGTCCACACAGTTATCATGTATAGATTAGCGCTCTAAACATTGAACTACATCCCCAACTTTTGTTTAGTTTTGTACTATAAGTTATTTATAGTTTAGTCTATCAAAATGATAAAAAATAGTTTATTTGAGATACGAAAGAATCAACCCCATAACTACATCCCCAACTTTTTTTGTACTATAAATTTATCTAGTTTTATCTATCAATAAAAAAATGACTTTTTTTTGGAGATGCGAGGAATTGAACTCAACTTTTGTTTAGTTTCTACTATAAAATATTTCTAGTTTTATCTTTCATTATGATAAAAGAGAATGATTCTTTTTGGAGATGTGAGGAGTTATCTATCATTATGATAAAAGAAAATGATAAATTTTTGGAGATGTGAGGAATTGAACCTGTACCTTTATATATGTTTATATTACATCATGTCCTCTTTTTGCACGTCATGTATATCAATGAGTAATGACCAAACAAGAAAGGTCGAAGGAATACATATTACTAGGAAGATTATTGTACTGCATGATTCTTAGTTGTTTGACTGAATTTCTGCGGCTGATAAACCGGTTGAAGTTATTTTGTTGTGAGATAAAAATATTGTACCATGACTGATAAGCCAGGCTGATAAGTTAAAGCTCGGAACAGAAGCTGCTCACACCTTGCATCTGCAACTTCACCTTTTCTATTTCCCTCCACAACATCGGAAATCGACTCGATGCTACTCCTATATGAAGTCTACACCTAAACAGACAACGTGGCATGTCCGCACTGAAGAAAGTGATAACACGGAACATACTATCATGTATCATTTTTTTTTCTCGAACACGTAGAAGAGTTATGTATCATTATAGGGCCCATCATTATATTAAGATAAAAAAAGGTAAGAACCCTTACAGCATCCAAACCAACACTCTAGTACAGGAAAAGATCACCTATTAAGAACATAGAAAGGGAAAAAAACCTACCCTGGGCTTCCTTCAAATTTTCAGTCCATAGATGTGCTCAGGACCTTTTCTCCATAGCTATGAGGACAAAGTGGGTAATGGGGCTTCAACTCTGTTCTGGTTAGACAGATGTTTACATGGCCGAAGCTAGCTTATGTGTACAGCAGATCTACAGTAATGTGTTGCTGACTGCTGCTAGCTTATGTGTTACATGTCCATAATAATATTTAGCACCACGAGTCTTTGCAATAGTATCCAACAGAAGAGCCAAGAAAAGAACTGTTCAGGAGGCACTCACTAATAATGCGTGGGCGAGATATATCCAGGGGGCTCTGGCTGGGAAAGTCATGAATGAATATCTGACCTTATGGGATTTACTCTCTGAAGTGGGCCTGCAGCCAGAGATTGATGATACTCATATTTCATATTTGGAGGTTCTCTAGTGATGGCAAATACTCAGCAAGTGCCGATTCTTCATGTGGTTGGTAATCAGAGATAGGTGTTGGACAGCCGATTGCTTAGCAAGGAGGAATCTACCTCATCCTACAAGCTGCCCACACTGTGATCAAGCTCCTGAAAACATCAATCACCTTTTACTAGAGTGCGTCTTTGCCCGGAAGTTTTGGTTCAACATTCTACCAAGGGTTGGGTTGCAATCTCTCACCCCACAGCCAGAGGCAAATTCTTTTGAGGAATGGTGGGATCTTAGCGGCAGCAGTGTTCCTGATCATTCGAAAAGGGCTGAATTCTCTGATCGTCCTGGGTGCTTGGACGCTGTGGAACCATCGTAATCGATGTGTGTTTGATGAAGCCTCTCCCAGTGTCGCTAGAGCTTTGCTGTCGGTTAGTGATGAAAGTTTTCCCTGGGGTCTGGCTGGAGCTCGAGGACTCAATCACCTCCTCGCTTTAGTGCCAGATGGGGATTAGTGAGGCTTGATCTGTGGTCTTTTTTTTTTCCCCTTTGTTTGTTCTTAATAGGTGGCACATGCTATCAGCCTATCACTACAGACAAAACATCGGTAATAGCACGTAATGACTCGCAATGTTGATAACAATTAACAAACACTAGCGACAGAGATTTAATAAACAAAAAAAAGTGGCATTCTCGTCCCTTAACAATTCTTGCATCAACTGCTCAAACATCATGATCAGTTCTTCGTCCTATAGTGGTACATGGTGTAAATTATTCCCACAAAAAAAACATGCAGGATCAGTACAGAAACAAAAACATGCAGGATCAGTACAGAAACAGCTTGTTTTTTCAAAAGGTCTCACAACAAATCAGCCAGAACAATGTTTCAGCTTTTTTTTTTTCAGCGAAGCGAACGGGGCAAAAAGGTTATAGCAGTCAGCAAAAAAAAATCACATTTGCCAAGGAAAAAAAACAAGCAGATGGACTACTATGCCCACTACACAAATACTTGCACAATGCTAGTCTCTTTATAATTACATTATAATAACGATCGTGGATTACATATTTTCATGATAAACGCAAAGAGACTTATATAATATCGTTTCTAAAACGAACAAGACTTTAACTTCTTTGGACGTGGCTCTGTTCATTGTCAGAATGTTCTAATGTTACATATAACAAGTCCTCCATATTCTATTCGATTCTGAAAGGTCACCATATCCTTTAGTAAGTCCGGGTTAACTTTCTGTGAGGCATAGTCATCAGCAAAATAACTTGACCTTGTCTCTTTTAGCTCTCGGCTACTGTTTCCCCTTCCAAAATTCCCAAGGTATTGCCGAACATCACAGTTTTCAACCCTTTTTACTGGCTCATGGTTGAAAGAGAAACAAGAACTTCTGCTCCGTGGAGTGTCAAAGGCATCAGGATCATCACTGGAGATGCTCCTAATTTTCAAACCAGCACCATTTGTGTGACTAAAGATAACACTGTCAGACACATCAGATCCAGTTGCGCTAATTGAGCACTGAGTTTGCTTGTCAGATTCCTGGGAGAAGGGGAAGGGGAGGGGAATCAAAATTGCATTCTAACAAGATGCCAAGGATGATTTAAGGTGACGGTATCCTATAAATCTATACATCATACAGAAAGAACTAATATAGATAACCCTACAACATGAAAACAAGAGAAGGGTGACAACTATGAACTATGAAGGATGATATTTTGATTTATGACAACCAATCGATATATAACATAGTATGTTAGTAAATATGGTTTTCAGGATGATCCACAGCTCAGGTACTATTTCTATCTCATGGGACCACTATAAGCTAGGTAAGAAACAGCATGTTTATATCCAAAATCAACTAAAAAGGTGTTCAATTTTTTTTCCCAAAAAAAAAGGAGAAAATATATAGAACTTATGAATATAATATTGAGATTTTGTGGTGCTCCCTGTGATCCAGAACACTTCATTTGCTGGAGATCATATCAAGAAATAAGGATGCACAACATATCCCAAGAATACTTCTGACTATAACTACAAAACAACCCTAGTTCTTCTCTCTCGCCCCCGCGTCGCTCCCCCACGCGGGCGACACGGTGGCCGCTCCCTCCCAAACCCTAGCAGCCGCCCCTTCCCACCCCCCCGCCATGCCCGCCGGCCGGAGCTGGGTGCCGGCATGGCCACGCGGCTCACCGGGATGGCGGTGGCGGGGCTCCTCCTCTCCTCGCGATTTGGTGGCGCAGGTGACAGCAAGCCGGCGACTCTCCTCCCACACGGGCTGCGTGGAGCCGGCGGATCCCCTTCACCTCGCCCGTCCCTTCCTCTAGACTTGGCGGCGGCGGAGGCATTGGCCCGGATCGCTGGATCAAGTCCTAGGCGTCTGGATCCGGTGTCCACACGGCCGGATTTGGAGCTCCGGCTCTGGATCCGGCACTCAGAGGGCTGGCGATGGCGGTGGCTGGCCAAGGCGGAGGCGGCGGCGACAGCAAAGGGTGTCGGCACCGGTGCTCTACTGCCGGTTCTCGACGCCATCTGGGGGGGGCGCGCGGGGGGTGGGGCACGTGTCAGTGGTGGCCGACGTTGGTCGAAAGCGCGGCAAAGACGTGCCAAGAGCCGGCGACAGCGGCCGGATGAGGCGTTGGTCGTGTGGCGGTGTTTCGCGAGCAACGGAATCAGGTTCGGCTCCGCGTAGCCCGACCAAAGGGGGTGACGGCCGACGCAGCTGTGCGGCTGCTGCGTGTAGCCGGCACGTCGATGCCCCTCTGAAGGGGTTACTGTGGAGCGGCAAGACAACGGCGAAGGCAGTGATGGATGGCAAGGGGCCTTGCTTCTTGGCTCGACGTTCGTGCTAGAGGACTCCTTGGGCGAAAGCCTAGCGATGGCGACACCTGTGGGTGCCGCTTTCCCTGTTGGGGCGTCGTGTATCCCCTCTAGCACTATCATCCAAGGGTGAAAGCCCGGTCCACTTTGGACGTGTGATGGTGGCGCCATCGGCGTCGCTACCTTCCTAAAGGCGTCGCGTTTGGATTTCGTCGTGGCCTCGATGTCTCCTCGGTGATTGTTCTTCGCTTCTTGGCGCCTCGATGACGCGTGGAGGCGGGTCTTGCTGCGAGAAGTCAAAGCTGCTGCGTCAGGTACGTGGCTCGGCAACGATGACACGCGGCGAGCCCCCACCTTCATCGTAGGCTGGGGTCTGCTAGGGGTCGGCAAGCGCTGGAGGTGAGGCATGTGGCCGTGATTGGAAGTCGGAGCTGCTCTTTGCGGGGTGCTTGAGCTTGGCAACGATGACCGGTTGCGGCCACTTGCTTCGGGCTCGTTGGTGGGTGGCTTGTGTGTGGACTGCCATGAGAAGTCGGAGCTGCTGGCGTCTTCAGCCATGCTCGGCAACAATGACCCATGGTAGTGTGCCGTGTTAGTGCTTAGCTGCGTCGTGTGGGTTGGTTAGCCTATCGGGTGCCCTTTTTGAAATCCCGTTGGCTAGCCCTCTTGTACATAAATTCTTTCGTCTTAATTGAGCAGCAGAGCTCCTGCCTTTGTTTAAAAAAAAAACACCAAACACAGAGAAAAATCAATTCACTAACCTCATGATGGGCATGTTGATCAGCCGGAGTGTGGGGTTCTTGAAAGATTGATCTCCCTTTGTGGAAGAATCTACTATTGCTCTTTGGTGGCACATTCACAACTGAATTTGGTTGAGGGTCCTCAGGTGATGAGAAATCAGTGCTATCCATTGTTGAAATTGAAACACATTCCTCAAAATAATTCATTGCCTCTTCAGCTAAATGCCTTGACACTTTCAGTCTTTCTATGCTACTCTGTTAAAGCAGACATAACAGGTCAGCTCAAGATTGATTTATTGAATATTATCAAAACAAATCAATCTCTAGATGGAATATATAAATGGGTTCTACTGCTGTCTGGAATAGTAGATCTTTACCTTTCTTCTTGGCCGTTTTTTATGTGTCTCGGTAAAATTTGGAACTGTTACTATGCCCTTCAGCATTCTGCTCAGTTCTTGTTCCCGCTGTTCTTCAACTGCCAAATCTGCCCTAAGCTTTCGAGCACGTTCATGTGACTGCAATCCAGCAGTAAAAGGTTATAATTGATGACTACATTTAACTAAAGGCATGACACAGTTGGCACAATAGTTATCAGACCTGTTTGAGTTTTAATGTATATTCTGTTATGTCAGGAGCCAGCTCAGAGGTGTCAGGATCAAACTCAAGAGAAGCTTCCAATTCCCCCCTTTGCAGGTTTGCTCCATGGTGCCATATGTCTGAAACCAGCTCAGAAGCATCTGTATCAAACTCAAGAGAAATTTCCATTTGCTCCCAGTGCTGTTTTGCTGCACTGTTCCTGGACTCAGAAACCAGCTCAGCAGCATCTGTGTCAAAATCAATAGGGATTTCCACAATATTTTTCTTTCCATATTCTGTCACATAATCACTTATGTCAGAGATAAACTCAGCAGAATCTGGATCGAACTCAGGAGGAATTTCCAGAACTGGATCCACTGGTACAGTTGAATGGTTCTGCTGCCAAATGGTCTATGGTCAAAGAAGAATAGTAGCATCACTAACAAAGTAACAACTTAGCATAAGGGAATAAAATATGAATGAAAGGTCCAGACAGAATATAGTAGAGAAAAACAGGAAAGTTTTTTCCTCAAAGATCAAAAAACAGTAAAGTAAAATTCAAAGCAAAAGCTGGAAATAAAGGCTACCTTTTCTCCTTTACAAAGGGAAAGCAGGACTAGCCAAATATTTCTAAAAACACATTTTCAACCTGACAGTATTTTATATTATATTGAAAGAGACCATGCTGTGAATTCAGACAAACACAAGTGGGCAGCATAATGGCATATGCATTGCAATAACACTAGAAAAGGAAAATTGCATAAGCACACATAAATGTTCAAAAGTAATCCTTTTTTCGAGTTCATAGCTACACCAATAAATTGCAACAACAATAGCTTTAACACGAGAGATTCACTAGTTCTTACATGCTGGAGATGGCCAGGTGAAGAAACAACAGTGCTAGACTCTGAATGGGTAGTTTCATCCATTTGCCGGCACCCCTGTGTACAATAAACACTAGTTGTCACTCACATATTCATGTTGCCAGTAAATCCCCACGAACTATTTTCACCTACCGCTACGGTTGTTGACCCCTGGGATGAACAACTTGCATCAGTTCCCTGATACTTGCCCTGCGAGGTGTGTAAATTTATGAGAATACAAGTTCCTTTGAAGTACAAATAGTTATGTCACGCAGCATATACACACATAAACCATCTAACATTCAAAACCAGAGTAGAGATACCTCTGGAACTGAATACCGGCTCCTCCATGACTGCAATTTCCTTGCGACATCCCTGGTTTCTGCATCGGTCTGTCAGATGTAAGAAAGACAAAAACTTCAGATTAATTGGCATTCCCTGATGTCAGTCAGGAGATAGTGCAGATTGAGTGTCAGATTAGTCTATATGTCCACACTTTAGTACTGCTTTGACCATAAATAGAAAGGGGAAAACATGGAAAGTTTATATCGAAAAGCGGGAGCTTTTCTTGACACGCAATTTCCGGGTGAAACGTGAAGCAGAGAGTAGACTGACCTCAGAGCCCCGGTAGGTGCGTGCGTCGTCGGCCACCGACCGCGCCCGCGAAGCCCTCCTCCCGCCGATATCGCCAGCAGAGTCCGCCACCGACGACACCGAGGCGGTGTGCCGCCGCTGCGGCGGCGCGACGGAGGCCGACCGCGCCCTCCCTCCGCCGCCGCGCTCCCCGCCCTTGAGCCGCGGCTCACGCCCTCTCTCCCGCCCCGCCACATCCCCGCGGGCGGAGCTAGCACCAGTACCACTAGCAGCCGCGCCGGGGGGCGGCGGAGGTGGCAAGGCGGACGGGGAGGCCGCGGAGTCGAAGAGCGGGTTGGTGCGCGTGTTGGCGTAGTCCTCGTGGGCGGCGCGGGGCCGGGGCGCCGCGCTGACGGAGCGCGAGCGGGTGCGGCGCCGGCACGGCGGCGGGTCGGAGCGGGAGGAGGTGGTGGTGGTAGTGGTGGCGTGGAGGGCGCGGCGCGTGGTGGACTTGAACGCCGCCGACGCCATCCGCGCGCGCCGGCGGTTGTCCGAATCGGCACGGCTGGCGGCGGGGGCAGGGGGAGGGGGAGGAAGCGACAAACGAAGCGGCGAGGATGGAGATGGAGGGAAATGCGAAAGAACGGAGCGGCGGGAGAAGTCGAAGGCGAAGCTGCTGCGCTGCTGATAATGGCGGAGGCCAGGGGTGGGTGCCGTGTCGTGTGCCTGGCTGAGGATGACCTGTGGGCCAGGTCACCGACGGCGGCAGGGGAGAGGAAGGGCAAAAAAGGGCTCAAAACGATGACAACAACAAGGAAAAAAAAAATAGAAATGGATGGAGATGCGGGGGATCGAACCCCGTGCCTCTCGCATGCAAAGCGAGCGCTCTACCATTTGAGCTACATCCCCACGATGTAATTTCATGTACAGAAAGTCTACATGAATGCAACAAAAAAACATAACATTTCAGGAAACCGCTTTAGGAAGCAAAATTCAAAGCGGTATCTTTACATCATGCATAGATTAACAGTCTACCAGTTCAAATACATCCCTGAGTTCCTTTAGATTTTCACCGTTAAAAGTACCAAACATTAATTGGGGATGGGACACATAGGTTAAGACTCTAAATGAGCACATGCCCAATTGTCATTTGGTTTTGCAATTATGAATTGATTTTCTGATTTTCATGGAGTAGAGATAAGAAGAAGGAATCTAAACCGTAAGAGCAAGGGACAATTTCCATTTATGTTTTCCACTACAAATCACTTTTGTACCGTTTAAATTTAGTCATGGAATATACTGTAATAGAGATGCGCAGAATACAACTTCGTCATGCATAGACTACACACACTACAAGTTGAGCTACTATAAAATATTTGATGATTTTATTTGTCCTGGAAGAGAAACAAAAGAAAATAGTTTAATTTTGTTGGTGTTGCCAACTAATTGAGATACATGGCCAACTCTAGTTTAAGTTTTGCAAATTGAGCTACATACCTATCTATCTTCTATTTTGTGGTTTCCTATAAATTATTTTACTATATAATGGAACTGAAATACGAAGAATAAAGTCGTTGTAGTTAAAGATTTGAGGAACCGAACCCTGTATATATACAATGCGTTGATTAACAAACAACCAATTGGGCTATATATATCTAAACAAAAAGACGTCCCAACTCTTGTTAGTTTTGCACTATAACAATACATTTCTTTCGTGTTCGTTTTGCACTGCACTAATAAATCAGATAATTTGTCATCGTCGTTGATAACTAAAGCATAATAACAGTCCAGGGAACATCATCACAAGTTTCCAGCTGCTTTCTATCATTGATTTCTCCGACAACAATAATAATATCCTATATATATATGTAGGATATATAAGATGAAAATGATGCCATAGATATGATACCTATTCTAACACTACTATAAAAACTTTTTAGGAACATGACCATTTTTAATGTCTTGTGATATAATCCGCCTCTGTAGATGCATCTTCAGAAGCGGCTCAATATTCAACCGCCTCTACAATAGGCTCGATAGAGGCAGCTAGAGTTACCAACCGCCGCTGAAAATACTATCATTTTCAGAGACCGCTTGTAACTCTAGCCGCCTCTATAGAGCTAGTTATAGAGATGGTTGGATAGCGAGCCGCCTCTAGTTCTGCTATATGTAATATGATCCTCGCTCACTCTGCATCCTCCTCTCCCAAACCGTCACCCACTCCACCTCCTCCTCTCCTCCAAACCCTCACCTCCTCCTCTCTAAACCCCATCGTCGCCTCCATCTCCCCTCACGTGTGTGGCAATGTCCGGCTGCCGCGGGTGGAACGCGAAGACGCAGGCATGCAACAACAAAGGGCGGTTTTCCCCATCAGGCGGTGGCACCAACGGCAACGGCTGGATTGTGGTGCATGGTAAGGTGTTCTACCTTATCGACTCTGAGGCAAGCCGTCCGTCATGCGTCCTCCGCTGGATGGGGCAATGGTGCGGCTGCGGCGAACCGCGCCGTCGGGCGGGCCAATGGATCTGCGATGGCGACCCCTACCATCGTGCGGGGCAGAGGTGCGGTGGTGTCGACCCCTGCCGCCAGGTAGGGCAGAGGCGTGGTGGCACGGACCCCCACTATGCACGGCAAAGGCGCCAACTCGAAGGATCTGTTGTCGTCTCTCAAGAAGTGTCCTTTGAGCGTCGGAGTCAAAAGGTCGCCGACGCCCGTTTGCGACGAAAGCCGATGGACGGTGCTCAGACAAGAAGACTGTGTAACATCCGAAAAAATAATTAACTTAGTGTCTCTTGGTCTTAGTGGGCTTAGAGTAGAGAAAAAAAGACATAATTACGGTCGGACCTAGAGAATTGGAGATAGACAAAAGCTCTACCAGTTGAGCTACATCCCCAATTTTGTTCAATTTGCCACTACAAATTATTTTAAATTTTATTTAATCTTGAAAAATGGATTAATAAAAAATAATAATTGGAGATGCCAGTTGAGCTACATCCCCAATTTTGTTCAATTTCCCACTACAAATTATTTTAAATTTTATTTAATCTTGGAAGATGGATTAATAAAAAATAATAATTGGAGATGCGAGGAGTTGAACTCGTACCTTTTTCATGCATAAACAAACGCTCTACCACTTGAGCTACATCCCCAATTTTGTTCAAATTTCCACTACAAGTTATTTAAATTTGATTTAATCTTGGAAGATAGATTAATAAAAAATAGTAATTGGAGATGCGAGGAGCTAAACCTCGTACCCTTTTTCATGCACAGACAAATGCTCTACCAGTTTAGCTACATCCCCAATTTTGTTCAATTTGCCACTATAAATTTTAAATTTGATTTAATCTTGGAAGATAGAATGCCCTAGAGGGCTCGGGGGAGTCATCCCCCGCTGGACAGGACAATGGTGCATTGGCGGTGACCCGCGCCGCTCGGCGGGGCAATGGATCTACGATGGTGACCCCTGCCGTCGAGTAGGGAAGAGGTGAAAGGTCCTTGTTTGGTTTTGGTAATTGAGTGACAATCTTAGGTGGACTAATATGTGTTTGAGTGAGATACACAGGTGATTAGTCCACAAGTACATCATGTGTGAGCAACATATGCCATGGAGGTGAAATGGCTTGGATATGTTGCAAGGTTCACACATGTGATGAAGGAGCTCATTGCATATGAGACATGACATGGAGTCATGTGACTAAGGTGGAAAAGATCAAGATGAGATTTGGCTTGATGGACCGGTTGCAAGAGTGAAGGGCAAGTCAGAGGCTTTAAAGCGCTGGACCATGTGGCGGGATGCTTGAGCAAAGACTTGGCGCCGATGGATTGATGCAAAGGTGAAGAGCAAGTGAGGTCAAGATCGATGAACCAATAAGGTCACATGATGATATGAAGTGGATCATATCATTGTTGATCGTGTTGGTGCATGTGTTGCGTCGACATTGGAGGAGATGGAATGGAATACGTAAGGCAAAGGTATAACCTATAGGGCATTTCATTTCACCGGTCATAGGTGTGTAGAGAAGTTTATGACCGGGTTTATAATAGATGGCCGTACTATCAAGAGGGTCAAACTTGTTTGTATATCGGTCATCTAGTGCCACTCGAGTGATCTAACTTTGCATCGTTGCTAGGATCGAGTGGCGTGGCAAGTTGAGTGGCTAATCCTTTGAAAAAATGATTGTAAAAATGCTAACACACATGCCCATGGTGGTGTACACTTGGTGGTGTTGGCACATTTGCTAAGGAGAAGTTGTTGGAGTTGAATTGGATCAACTTGGAGAAGAGAGAAAGGTTTTTCGGTGTGCTCTAAACCTTGCGATGGCTATTGGATTGGAATTCTGTATTGACCCATTTTACTTTGGATCAAATTTACTAGTGGTTTGTGTAGCCTTATGAGTAAGCTTTCCAAAATATCCAAGATCATCGAATTCAGAGTTCAAAGCTAAGAGTTATAGCCATTTTAGCGATGAAAGGTCTACGACAGGACTCTGCGACCTCCGAGTCTGGTTAGTGTTTTTAACATGAGGAAGAGCGACCGGACACATGGAGAGTCCGGTCAGTGATGACCTGACGTGTCCAGTCATCAAAATAGCTCTCTAGAACCTCTCTGGAAGTGACCGGACTCTGTGAGAGTCGAGTCCGGTCATAGGAGAAAGGTGAGTCCGGTCAGTTGTGCAGAAACACGTTGGTAACCGGTCTCGGCCTCGGCGCGTTCGGTTGATGGACCTAGGCGCGTCCGGTCAGGAGTATGCGCGTGTAGGAGCTAGCCGTTGGTGAGCAACGGTCATCTTCGAACGGCTAGTACGCGTGGCACACGAGGAGCGACCGAACTTTGCGAACTGCGCGTCCGGTCACTACGACCTGCGAGTCCGGTCAGTGCGAAAAGTGCACAGTGAAGGGATAATGGCTATTTTAGCCCTTGGGGCTATACAAGGAGTGTGTGGCCGTCCTTGGCACATGTTTAGCACCCTTGGGACTTAGTGTCCATGCTTGAGGAGTGCTAGGAGAGCCTCTAACTCACTTGTGCACATAGTGGTTGCATCCGATTACGAGTGAGTGTGATTCTAGTGCGATTGCATCGTGAGGTTGCATCGAGTAGTACTAGCTGATCGAGTTACAAGCCGGTGGTGCTTGTTACTCTCGGAGGTTGCCACCTCCTAGACGGCTTGGTGGTGGTCTCCGTCAAAGGACGCAAAGAAGATTGTGCGGTGCTCCGGAGAAGTGATTGTGAGGGGTATTGTGCTCACCCTGCGGGATCCGCGAAGAGCAACTCTAGTAGATCGAGACATGAAGGGCGACAAGTGGTCCGGCCGGGTCAAGTGTTAGAGCTTGTGGTAAGCACTCCTCGTGGGAGAGTGTGACTTGCGGGTCACCACTAGCAAGAGGACCGGCGGCAACCTTGGAACTTATCTCAACAGGGACTAGCGTGTTGGCAAGCACGTGAACCTCGGGATAAAAATCATCGTCTCATCCTTGTCTTCCCGTTGGTTTGTAATCCCCTTACATAAGCTTGCAATTGCTTTCATATACAT